ATTAACTTTCTTGCTTAAAAACAAAACAAAACAAAAAACAAAAGGAGGGCGCCTGGGTGGCTCAGTTGGTTAAGCGACTGCCTTCGGCTCAGGTCGTGATCCTGGAGTCCCGGGATCGAGTCCCGCATCGGGCTCCCTGCTCGGCAGGGAGCCTGCTTCTCCCTCTGACCCTCCCCCCTCTCATGTGCTCTCTGTCTCTCTCATTCTCTCTGTCTCAGATAAATAAAATCTTTAAAAAAACAAAACAAAACAAAAGGAAAAAATGACGTATATAAATATAGGCAACAGCAACTTGAAAGACATTGGACATTAGGCAACAAAGGGTAGTGATCCTTGAGAAATAGGCAAAGAACAAGGTGACCCTGTGATTGTCCAAGCTGACTGCCTTGTTTCCAGATAGAGAGGAGGAACTATGGTGAAATACTCCCTGAGTTGAAAAGATGGAACTAAGAACCTGGGGAGACTGAAGCTGCCTGAGTTCATAGACAGGACAGAGTACTAGCAAAGAGAAAGAATTTCACAGAGAGATCCCCAAGACCTGCAGGGGATCACCCTCACATATCCAGTGTGTGAGGAACTGCCCAGGATGGGGAAAGAAGCATCACAAAGAAGAAAAGGATTAAACATGCTAGGAATAGAAGGGAACTTCCTCAACCTGATACAGGGCATCCATGAAAAACCCAGGTTAATATCATAGTCAGAGGTGAAAGATTGGATGCTTTCCCACTAAGAGCAGGAACAAAACAAGGATGTCTGCCCTCACCTCTCCCATTCCACATCATACTGGATGTTCTAGCTAGGGCATTTAGGCAAGAAAATGAAATAAGAGGCATCTAGATCGGAAAGGAAGAAGTAAAACTATCTCTATCTGTACATGACAAGATCTTATATATAGGAAATCCTAAAGAACCCACTAAAAAAAAAAACTCCCGTAGGATAAAGAAGTTCAGCAAGGTTGCAGGATACCAACTGAGTATATATAATCCATTGTATTTTTACCCACTTGCAATGAACGATGTGAAAAATGATGAAGAAAAAATTCCATTCATGATAGCACAGCAAAGGAAAAAAAAAAGACAAGGGAGTAAACTTAACCAAAGTGCAAAACTTACATTCCAAAAGCTACAAAATATTGTTGAAGGAAATTAAAGATCCAAGTAGATGTAAAAATATCCAATGTTCATGAACTGGAAAACCTAACATTGTTAAGATGGCAATGCTCTTCAAATTGATCTATACATTCAACACAGTCCCTATCAGAATCCCAACTGAAGTGATCCCTACCTCACACCATGTACAAAAATGAACTCAAAACAGATCAATGACCTAACTGTAAGAGCTAAACCTATAAAATTCTTAGAAGACAACACAAGGGTAAATGTCCATGACCTGGGATTTTGCCATGGATTCTTAGATGACACCAAAAGCCCAAGCAAACAAGGAAAGAAGCTAAATTGGATTTCATTGAAGCTAAAAATTTTTTTTGCTTCAAAAGACACCATTAAGAAAGTGAAAAGACAGCCCATAGTTACAGAAAAATACAAACATTCACTCCTTCAAAATGAGCATGTAGCAGGGGCTGAGGAATGAGAGTGAGTAAGCCAGACAAAACCCCCTCTTCTGTCTTCTAGTGTGAGGATTCAAAAAGGACATTAAGAAAGGAACAATAAGCTCAGACTCTAACCCTGGCTGTTTATCATCAACACCTGTGACCAGAAACAGTATTTCCCTCAACGATATGTTGCAGCTGCAGCCTGATAACAACCCATTTCTTTGAGGACTCCTGCTTTCTTTTTTTTTTTTTTTTTTGAGGACTCCTGCTTTCTTTTCTTCTTTTTTTTTTTTTTTTTTTGAGGACTCCTGCTTTCTTACTCAGAAACTATTTGCTAATTCTGAAGTTGAAACTGAAATCCTGTCATTTCCTTCCAGGAAACAACCACCAGGAATTCACCTATTGTTGAAAAGTTGGGTTTATTATTCATTGCTGTGAAAGAGAATGCACACCATGGGAAATTATGGGGTGTATCATTAAGAGCATTAGAACAGAGGCACCTGGGTGGCTCAGTCGTTAAGCATCTGCCTTTAGCTCAGGTCATGATCCCAGGATCCTGGGATTGAGCCCCGCATCCAGCTCCCTGCTCTGCGGGAAGCCTGCTTCTCTCTCTCCCACTCCCCCTGCTTGTGTTCCCTCTCTCGCTGTGTCTCTCTCTGTCAAGTAAATAAAATCTTAAAAAAATTTTTTTTTGATTAAAAAAAAGAATGTTAGAACACAATTATAGGATTTGGCTTGTTAGGTGATTGGGAGGAGGGTTTGGGATTGGGTGCTGTTAAAAGCGGGGTTAATTCTATGATCGAGTACCTTAATGAATCTCATCTACAGGGAGGACTGAAAGAGTGAGGCTAAAGCTGTGATGGTAAAGAAGCAGTAGTCTTTAGCTGGGAGTGGGAACGTCTGGTTGGTTGTGGCTTGGACAGTGCTCTTGTTTTGTGTTCAACATAACTAAGTGGACTAGTTTTGTCTTGACCCATCATAATCACTCTGATGTTGATGTTTTATGAAATTGTTTATGCTCAACAGGACAACACCAAGAACTAGCCCCTGGATGCCGGGGACTGCTCTTCTCCCTCACATACCAGTAAGCATATAATGTCCCGTTCCTGGCTGGAGGACCTAAGTAATTTTGACAGAGAAGCAGCTTCGAATTCCGGCCCAGGTGGGGAGTTTCAAATAAGTGAGTGACTACATATATCTATGTTTAAAAAAACCTTTTTAAAAAATATTTTATTTATCTGAGAGAGAGCTCACGTGCGAGCATGAGCATGGCAGGGTGGGGGTGCGGAGCAGAGAAGCAGACTCCCTGCTGAGCAGGAAGCAGATGTGGGGCTCAATCTCAGGATAATGGGATCATGACCGAGCCAAAGGCAGACGTTTAACCAACTGAGCCACCCAGGCGCCCCGAAAAACTTTTTTTTATTGAAGTATAAACATACAATGTTATAATAGTTTCAGGTGTACAATATAATGATTCACCATTCTATACATTTCTCAGTGCTCATCAAGGTAAGTGTACTCTCCCTTCTGCCTCTTTGCATCCAAGAGAGCAAGATGGGTCACCAGCAGTTCTACTGGAGCCATCTGAGGAAAGATGGCCAGGGTTCTTGCCACATCTGCTCAAACAAGCAAGGTCTGATCCAGAAATACGGCCTCAATATTTGTTGCCAGTGTTTCTGTCAATATGCGAAGGATATAGGCTCCATTAAGTTGGATTAAGTGAACTTCCTTGAATGGGTCATCCCAGATACCTACCTTAATGCCAACTCATTGTACATAAGATAAAGATATTTCAATTATGAGTGTTTTAATGTGGAAAAAAAGGATAAGTGTACTCTTAATCCCCTTTATCTATTTTACCCATCCCCCCCCCTCATCTCCCCATTCCACATCTATCTTAACCATGTGGTATGCACTGGAAACCTTGGTCCTCTTTACAGTCCAGGCCAGATATTGACCCCTCACACACAGCTATGCTCTGCTTCCAGCCTATCAACAAAACAGCACTTCGTTTAAATTTTACCTGAACTCCATCCTTTCCCAAATCCTAAAACAACTCCCTTTCCTTTGCTTAGTAACAGGTCCCAGGACTCTATTGGTATGCTACCTCTATCCTTGCAATGAATCAATAAAGGTGATTTTGTCGAATTATAGGATTGTCCCTGGTGCTCTGAGGCTCATTGGGCTACAATAGAACTATACATAGTAAGTTAGATATAAACGCTATGAAAAAAAGAAAGCAGGGGAAAAGGGTAAGTGTTGGGGAAAGGACAGCCTTGCAATTTAAACAGGATGGTCAGGGCGCCTGGGTGGCTTGATTGGTTGGGCAACTGCCTTCGGCTCAAGTCATGATCCCGGATCCTGGGATCGAGTCTCACATCGGGCTCCCCCTGCTCAGCGGGGAGCCTGCTTCTCCCTCTGCCTGCCACTCCCCCTGCTTGTGCTCTCTCTCTGGCAAATAAAATCTTTAAAAACAAACACAAAAACAATTTAAACAGGATGGTCAGGGAAGGCCTCGAAGATTAGTGATATCTGAGCAAAGACCGGAAAAAAGTGGGGGATTTTTTAAATCTTCTGAGTATCTGGGAAAACAGCATTCCGGGAGGGAGGAACAGTTGGTGCAGAAGTCCGGAGTAGGAGCATGCAAGGTGTGTTCCAATCATATTTTCATAGTGCGCTGACCTTGACAACCTCTTTAATTCTGAACCTACCTTTACCCACCATTACTCCCTTTTCCAGCTTTTGCCTTTTTTCCCAATAACTTTCCCATATACAATTCCGCGTTTATTACGTTTGTTTTCTGCTTTGCGAGAAAGGGCGGGCATCCTCACCCGTCTCGCTCCCTATGTAGCTTGAGCTTAGAGACCTGGGGGACACAGCAGGAGCTCGACAGGCGCGTGTGGAAGGGCGGACTGTACGGCCCTGAGGCCCGGGGCTGGGGAGAGAGCAAGGCCACGGGAAGGCGGAAGACACCCGTCGCGCGGGGCATCGGGGGCCACCGTGGGGCGCGTCGGAACTTCAAGGACGCGCCGCAAGGCCAGCACCCCCACCACTCCGGCCGGACGCGCACCCTCGCGCGTGCGCCAGCAGCGGACCGGTCCAGGCGCCCGCCTGATTGGCTACGCGGCGCCCGGAAGCGGCGTTGCGCATGCGCGCTCCCCCCGCGCGGGCCCGAGTGGTGTGTAGCTCTTCGGTCTCCGTCGTTCCCGCTGCAGCCCTAACTCCCGGTCCGGGACGCTCGTGCCCGGAGCTCGGAATGTTCCCGGAACTCAATAACCTTCTCAACATCACCCCTGACAGGGCGGAGCAGGTTAGACGCCGCGCGGTGGGAAGGGGGCGGGTTCCGGAGCGTGGCGGAAGACCGCATCCCCGGATGAAGCGCACGCGGAGCCGTGGGAAAGACGCGACGGCCGCGGGCACAAGGGCGCCTGGGAGTTGTAGTCCGGGGAGGGCCAACCCGGAAACGGCTGGGCGCGGGCGCTTACGAGCCGTGAGCGTCTTCTCAAAGGCCGTGTGTACCCTCGAAAGTGCCCGGAAAGCTTGACCAACTGTGCATTGGCTTACGTTCACAGACGTTTACTGGGGGGCCCTGTGCATGCTCACTGCGTCCCGGCGCCCAGAGGAGGTTGCCTGAGAGTCGGGAGTTCGACTGTCCACCTTTCCCAGGAGACGAGCTTCTTAACCGCCCGAGTCTCTCTCTCTGGCCCTGCGGCATTGTGCAGGTCACAGTGAACGCTGCTCCCCCTCTTCCTCCTCATGGTCTTGAATGGTGCTCTTCCAGGTTGCTCTCAGCCGGCGTTGGCTTGTATCAAGTCGGCCTTGGGCACAACAGCTCCGCCACTTTTTCTCCACCCTCCTTCCCGCACTCCGAGGCATCCCGAAATTTTTCACATTTTGGCCCGGCGTTACTTCTCCCAGGAACTTAACCTGGTTTATTTTATAACCTTTGTCTTCCTGAGGAAATGGTAAGCTCCTCCAGGCAGCCAAGACACCAAATGTATCAGGCCTTTTTTTTTTTTTATTTATTTATTTGAGAGAGAGAGAATGAGAGAGAGCACATGAGAGGGGTTAGGGTCAGAGGGAGAAGCAGGCCCCCCGCCGAGCAGGGAGCCCGATGCGGGACTCGATCCCGGGACTCCAGGATCATGACCTGAGCCGAAGGCAGTCGCCCAACCAACTGAGCCACCCAGGCGCCCTGTATTCAGGCCTTTTTATGAACCCACGGTATCAGGCAAATTACAGTTTTCAGTAGACCCTGTGGGTGTCAGTTGCCCAAGCCTGCAGGTGGCACTGGCGACCTTGCTAGTTATCTGGGCACCTCCAGAGCGCTCAAGCCAGGGCCAGAGTGGAGGACTGGAGCATCAAAGTGGGCACCGGGAAATGACAGCACTGGAGGTAACTCTCAAGGTCTGATAGTGCGATCTTTCATATTTTATAAGTGAAAAAAAGTCACAGCATGGAAGTTCTGTATCTGATACCATTTGATCCTGACCTCCCCTTTCACCGACAGGGAACTAGAGGTGGCTGGAGCAGGACAGCCAGCCCCTGTGGAGACCATCTTTAGAGGTCTTTCCAGGACTTTCCATGATCAGGGCTCTGCCTGAAGCAGTGTCCAGGGCCACTGGGATGGGATAACTTTGTTACTGGAGGCCTCTGTCAACTACTACTACTCCCCTCTCCCCCACCCTATTGGACAGAATTGGTATCAGAATTAGAAATAGGAAGTTGGATCAGATTAGTTTTTTGAAGGTGCATTCCAATCTTGGCAGGCTGTGATTTTTGTTGGATTCTGACGGTAGAAGCTTCTTTCATTCAGGATCTCGTTCTTCCCAGGACTGGTCCCTGAAGTACCAAGGTGAATGAGGAAGAGGAGGCACTTTATTCTCTGTTTGCCTTGGGAAAGTGGAAGCTGAGATATGCTTGCCCATAATAAGTGACTTAATAGCAATCACTTTAAGTGTTGTTTTTTCCCATAATTTTGACTTATTTTCTTCTTTTCGGTAATCTGTGTGTGTGTGTGTGTGTGTGTGTGTAGATATCGACCTCCTTCCAGGGAGTCTAATTCAACTTTTTGTGTTCCTCTTAACTTGTAGGGGAAACTGACTCTACTCTGTGATGCCAAGACAGACGGCAGCTTCCTTGTGCACCACTTTCTCTCCTTCTACCTCAAAGGTATAGGACTCATTGATGCTGTAGAAAAAGAAACCTAAGGGAAAACGCAATGGGAATAGTATTAACCAACCAGGGCTTTGGTGTTTGGGTAGCCAGGTGGCTGTTTATTAGGTAACAGGTTACTGACCATCTTGTTCCCTGCCCATCCATCCCAAAGGGTGGTAAGTGCTCTCTGTATCTGTGTCCTATCTTCCCTTCTCCACCAAGTGTGCGCACAGTCTCACTGAGTCTCTTACGTGGCCTGCTGATTTTGTTGCTCCTCGGTCCTTGTGCATCTTGAGGTCTTTGGGCCCTGGACCCATTGACACGTTGCCCAGCCAGTAGATGGTTCCTAAAGAACATCGGGAGGAAAACTGCAGGGTCACTGCAATTTATAGACGGAAGTAGATTAGAAGAAGAAAACAGCCAAATGAAAAAAAAAAAAAAAGACTCATTTATCAACTGATTCTCCTTGAGCTCCTGCTGAGCCAGGCCAGGATAGAGGGTAGACTTTTGGCACTCTTAGTTGTAATAGTTCACAGCTTTGAAAGTTGTTTTCTTTTCCAGATGATGTTATTGTCAGCACTGAAAGAGTAAGAGAATCTACAGATGAATTATTAGAAACTAATTATGTTTAGTAAGGTAGCTAGAGCTTCTTTGTGTTCCCCTTATAACTTCTTGGATATAAGAACAGTTGAAAAGAAATCAATTATATTTCTGTATACACCAACAACAAATGGAAAAATATTATTTTTTATTTATTTAATTTTTAAAAAAGATTTTATTTATTTATTTGTCGGGGGAGAGAGAGAGAGAAGAGCACAAGCACAAGCAGGGGGAGTGGCAGGGAGAGGGAGAAGCAGGCTTCCCGCAGAGCAGGGAGCCCGATGCAGGGCTCAATCCCAGGATCATGAACTAAGCCGAAGGCAGACGCCTAACCGACTAAGCCACCCAGGAGTTCCAAAATATTATTTTTTATTTTATTTTATTTTTTAAAAACCACAACTCGTTGACAATCGAACAAAATAAGGTACCTAGTAATACACATAACAAAAGTACGTCTCAGGTTCAATGAAATAAGATATAATTATTATATATGAGAAAATGTGTGTCTTAGAATGGAATTGGGTATGTCAGGTTGCAGGGCCCCTTGAGTCTGTCTAGACCTGGCCCAGTGCTTTTGTTTCCAGAAGTATGAACTGTATGAGACTGATTGTAAGTAAAGATGTCACTAAAAATCTGTTTGTTTTGTTTTCTAGCCAATTGTAAAGTCTGCTTTGTGGCACTCATCCAGTCCTTCAGTCACTACAATATCGTGGGACAGAAGTTGGTAAATATCATAGACCTCCGAGGTGCAGTCCCTGAGTATGTGGGTCACGCAGGTGTGAGTGGGGCCGAGGCTGGTCTCCCCTGTGTGGGTTGTAGAGAACTTAGCAAGAGAGTGACTGGGGAAATCACGGGGTGCTGAACCCCTTATCTGAAGGGCTAAGGCAGCATCTCTACCTGTTTTATTAATTTAGAGTTTATAGAACCACATCTGTTGTTAATTAATCAAATGCAGCTCTACTGACTCTGGACCAGTTAAGATTTTCTCCTTCTCAGTGTGGGCTTTAATCTTAGTCCTGCTCGGTTGATCACAGCTTGGTCTGCCACCAAATTGAGTGCCTCCTACTGTCTCCCTAAGCTTAGGGCTTAGAACCCAAATGTGGGGAGAGGTGCTTTTGTCACCTGCTCCTTATTTGATCTTGGCCTGCCCTTCGTCTTATCAGATGTGGGCAGGCAAGAATAAGATGGCCAAGAGGCTGGTGAACCTTCTGGCCTAGCCTAGGCTGTCGCCCATGACCTGTGACCAGAGGGGCTTACTGTTTTGTTTTTTGTTTTTGTTTTTTTGGTCTTTTTTAATTTTGTTTTGTTTTTAATAGGCCAGCCTCAGAGGGGAAAAGAAGCAGGCTACCCATTAGCAGTGATCATTGAAATGCCAGTCTTCCTACTGGGCCATGTCACTGCCCGATGTCACTCTGATGGGGAGAAACAAATGAGAGGATGAGAGGAGGGTAGACTTTCCCATCCTCTGCTGAGAAGGAAGAATTTCCTGGGTTAGAGGTCAGAGCATGAGCTCAGGGAGAGCAGTCATGTTAAGAACACATTACATTCCAGGTCTGTGAAGCATGTCTCTCTGACCCTAAGCATCTGTGTTTCTGGATGAGAAACTGGTGTACACTCATGTCCAGATGGGCTACTTTTTCTGTTACCTTAGAATCGTCATTGACACAGCAGGAATGGCCCGCACAGGACTGGGCACATGAAGGACTAGAGTGTGAGCCTCCATACTCTTGGTGTATTACTGAACTGCCATTAGTAGAATGGTAATGAGCAAGGGCAGAGGGGATGAACAGGAGTCTTTCTGTCTGCCGGGGTGACCGTGGAGCTAATGGCGCTGCGTAGTGGGGGACACTGGGGTGAGAATGAACAACTGAGACCTGGTCAAGGGGCATGAGCGGTGTAAAGAGCTCCGTGTGACCTGGGTCTGCACAGACAGAGCAGTGGGTTGCATATTTAGACTGTATCCATCTTTCGGTGTTTGCCGAAATGCAGATTCTTGGGCCCTGCCCACAAAGCGTCTGGTTCTGGAGGTCTGGAGTGGCGCTCAAGGATCTGCCTTTTAATCAGGTGACTCTAGAGCTTCGTAATCGGGTAGGTCATGAAGAGCCATGTTAAGAAGTTCTGGTCTAGGGGCGCCTGGCTGGCTCAGATGGTTAAGCGTCTGCCTTCGGCTCAGGTCATGATCCCAGGGTCCTGGGATCGAGCCCCACATCGGGCTCCTGGCTCAGCGAGGAGCCTGCTTCTCCCTCTGCCTCTGCCTCTCTCCCTGCTCATGCTTTCTCTCTCTCTCTCTCTGTATCTCTGTGTCTCAAATGAATAAATAAAATCTTTAAAAAAAAAAAAAAAAAGAAGTTCTGGTCTAGGGGCACCTGGCTGGCTCAATCCAAAGAGCATGCGACTCTTGATCTCGGGGTTGTGAGTTTGAGTCCCACGTTGGGTGTAGAGATTATTTTTAAAAAGTTAATTAGGGGCACCTGGGTGGCTCAGTTGTTAAGCGTCTGCCTTCAGCTCAGGTCATGATCCCAGGGTCCTGGGATTGAGCCCCATATCAGGCTCCTGGCTCAGCGAGGAGCCTGCTTCTCCCTCTGCCTCTCTCCCTGCTCATGCTTTCTCTCTCTCTCTGTATTTCTGTGTCTCAAATGAATAAATAAAATCTTTTAAAAAAAAAAAAAAATAAAAAAATAAGTTAATTTAAAAAAAAAGTCTGGTCTAGAGCAGGGGTTGGCCCGTTTGTTTATGAGTCGTGGGTGGTTGCTGTCATTCTACAGAGCTGAGTAGTGACAGCACAGACTATGGCCTGCAAAGCCTGTCTTGCCCTACGCAGAGAAACTTAGCCCACCCCCGAACTAGTGCGTTGAGAGTTCATGTTGCCGCAGCTCTCGTGGGAGTGCCGCCTCTGAGGAAGAGGGCAGAGAAGGAGAACCTGGATCTCCCTGTGTGGCCGGCAGCCTGGCCGTTCCGATCTCGGAGCTATGTTCCTGAAAGCCTCAGAGCAGCTCTGAGGTCCTGTACCACTGAGGCGTTCCCGGAAGGGTTTGTGAAACTCGAAGCCAACATCTGGCCCTTTCTTCTACAGCCAGCGTGTTTCAGACCTTGGTCGTTCTCCCACCATTTTATTGTCATTATTACCGTTTCTAAATGTGCTTAACTTTGTAAATACATACTTTTAGAAAAGTTGATGATACACTTCCTGATACTATTGCAAATTAAAACCATTGAGCCGTCATGAAAACGAATATGTGAGCAAAACATCAGTTTTTTACCAAGTGACAAACGTAAAGGCACACCTGAGCACAGTGGGGATTGTGGGTTGGGAATGCACAGTGGAGAGAAGGCATGGGCCCCATCCGAAGGTGGACAGGTGCACATTTGCAGGGCTTAGAATGTGTCCTGTGCCCTTTTGTGAGCTGGAGTCTGGCCTATGGGGTGGGTTCCCCTGCAAGGCACTGTGATTCACTCTCTCCTGTGTTGTTTAGGGTGTCAGCCTGACTGCGGCCCGGGAATGCGGGCAACTTGTGTTCCTCGAGGGTCTTAAGTCTTCGGTGGATGTCTTCTTCCGGGCTCAGGCGGAGCCACACCCCCTGCAGTTCCTCAGGTCAGTCAGCCCGCAGCCCCGCCCAGAAGTACCCATGGGGTGGGGGGGCCCAGACCAGGCTTGCCCTGTGATTCCTTCTCCCTGGTGTGTGGCACGTGGGGGGACAGAGCTGGCTTCAGGAGGCAGACACTTCCCTGGTGTGGCTTCATCAAAAAGCCCTTGGCTCTTAATCATGGGCCAGAGGGCGTATGGATGACCCAAAGGCTCCAGAAAGCATTATTTGCTGAGAGTATGGCAGAACGGTGTTTTTTCCAACCCTGGCTCGGAGCCCTTGCACACACCTTTGTTCTGTTTTTGGCTCGATACAGGGCTCAGCAAAGTATGGCCCGTGGGCCAGCTACCTGTTTTTGTAAATAAAGTTTTATTAGAATAGCTGCATTCATTTGTTCGTATATTGTTCCTGGCTGTTTTGCACTCCAACGGCAGAGTTGAGTAGTTGAGACAGAGATCATAGAACGCACAAGCCTAAAATATTACTGTTGCTCTTTAAGAAAAAGTCCATCGACTCCTGGGTTTGCTATTCTGAGATTGGTTTTCCTGTTTCTTGTCCTTGATGAGTGCCAGCCACAAACATAACTGTGCAGACTCCCAACGTGGGTGCTCTTCTTCCTCCACCACGAAGGAGTCCCTACGGGAGCTCTCCCTGCCGCCCCCTCTCTCAGACTCAGCCTGATGCGGTGGATGGAAAGCAGTATGGTCAGAAGGCCCCATGCCCTGACCCTATGCATGTGATCTTGCACACAACCTTTACCATCTCTGAACCCAGCTGTCTTCGTCTGAATGATGGGCCTGGATACACCTCACCCCCGGGTTGGAGGAGGTTGTCCTTGCTGTTAGCGGGGCTTGGACCTGGAGCATGGGCACATGCCGAGGCCCTTTGCTCGGGTGCTTTTTGAGCCTCTGTTGCTGGGAAGTGACCGCCAAGGGTAGTCACTGGGGAGGCGGAGGTAGCTGGGCCAACTTGTTCAGAAACAGGTGGAATCTGTTAGGTACACAAACAGCCCTTAGACCTTCGTCCCTCACCGCTAGGTTACCTGAATTGCTGTTTAGCTTTTTATCCCCATGATGATCTCCCGGGAAGGCTTCTGCCTGCCCAATCCAGATTAATCTTCGATGCCTTAAGCTCTTAGGAGGAGGGGCTGCATGGTGTCTCTTGAGGGTCCGAGAGCCTGTTTATTTTTGTGTCCCCCAGTTTCTAGCACAGTGCTTTATACCTCTTAGGCCTCAAGGAGTGTTTGAAGTACAACTTGCTCTTGTATGAATGCATGCCTTTTCTTTCCAACCAGATCAGGAGCCCCTTGGGCCAAGGCCTGTGATCCAGTTCTTTGCCCCCCACCCCCACCCCCAGCCCTTTCCTGTGGTGCTGCTCAGTCCCGGATAAACATTTGTAGAGAGAATGAGCTCTCTGGTGACCCTTGCTTGATGCTCCAGGGAGGCCGATGCTGGGAACCTGCAGCCCCTGTATGAGTTTGTCCGAGAGGCTCTGAAGCCCATGGATGACGGACGGGCCGCGTGGAGGTGCCCAGTGCTGCTAGTGGACGACCTCAGTGTGCTGCTGAGCCTGGGCCTGGGGGCCGTGGCTGTGTTGGACTTCATCCACTACTGCAGAGTGGCCGTGTGCTGGGAACGAAAGGTACTGATCAGCCTGCTCTCTGTGCTCCCGCCTGTGACCTCCATGGGCCCACGTGGGTCCACACCTCCCTTGCTTGCGGTGGTCTTTCTTGTGTATTTGCCTGGGGGTTTGGCTTTACTCTGGTAGCCCCAGAAATCTTTTGGTCTGCCATCCTCCACTCCCCTACTTGCCGCTGCTAAAAAATGAAGGCCTCAAAATGAAAAGGTTGATCGGTACTGTCTTGACTGTGGCCTGTCGTGTGTGGTTCTGCGGAAGTCCCAGTCTGGCATACATTGCCTCGTGTCCTGGGACAGGTCATTGTCTCTCTGTGTGGCCTTTGAAGATCAGTTGAGATATAAACGGCTGTAAAAAAATTCTGTGATGCGATGCAAGTATAGGACCTGATCTTTATTGTCAAATGATGAGGCAAAAATGGGGATTTTGCCAAAACAGAGAGTTAAACAATGGGAGTAGACCCATCTATACAGTAGGAATGGCTCTGGTGCCTGCCTCACAGGAACGCAACGGCAGGAGTTTAGTGACACGAAGCTTGCAGCATGCCCACACAATGTCTGGCCCACCGCGGCCGCTCTTCAGCATGTGATGGCGCCCCTGGTAGGAGCCTGCGGCCCTCAACACCGTGTGGTCAGGCCGCGTTGCTGGGCAGCAGTTGGCGTGAGCTATTGGAGTCAGCCGGGGCTGCGTGTCCCCAGCAGGGCATGTTGAGCACCTCCTGTGCTCAAGGGCCTGCCTGGCAGCTGGGTTCAGGGGAACTCCGGGGGCCGCGGTCACAGGGCCAGGAGCCGGGCGACATGGAGGAGGAGGGAATGGAAGGGGCGCGGAGGGCGCGATCAGCGACACCGAAGTGGGCACACCGCCTGCAGCTTAGCTTGCTCTGTGGCCCACTGCCATCCTCGTTTTGTAAAAATACCTCTTTTAGTTGAAAAAGTAAAACTTCGGAATAGTTTAAGAAAGCAAAAATAAATAGCACAAAGAGTACTTTAATAAAAAGTAATGGTCTCTTTCCCGATGTGGATATTGTTCCAGAGAGTCTGTGCAATTGTGAACGTGTTGTATGTGTGTGTGTCTCTCTGCGTTTTTCTTTTCTTTTCTTTTTTTTAATTTCTTTCTCTCTCTCTGTTTTTCTTTCTTTCTTTCTTTTAAGATTTTATTTATTTATTTGACGGACAGAGACACAGTGAGAGAGGGAACACAAACGGGGAGAGGGGGAGGGAGAAGCAGGCTTCCCACGGAGGAGGGAGCCCGATGTGGGGCTCGATCCCAGGACCCCGGGATCATGACCTGAGCTGAAAGCAGCCGCTTAACCAACTGAGCTATTCTTATTTTAAACGTTGGAGGCAGGAACTTACTAACTTGCTAGGGCAGCCGTAAGGACAGATGAAGCGGCTTTTTTTGCAGGAATTTCTTTTCTTTTTTTTTTTTTTTTTTAAGATTTTATTTATTTATCTGACAGAGAGACAGCGAGAGAGGGAGCACAAGCAGGGGGAGCGGGAGAGGGAGAAGCAGGCTTCCCGCTGAGCACGGAGCCCGATGTGGGGCTCGATCCCAGGACCCTGGGATCATGACCTGAGCTGAAGGCAGACGCTTAACCGACTGAGCCACCCAGGCGCCCCTCTCTGCATTTTTCTTCACATCGCTGGTCACCTGCCATGCCATTTCATAGCACACCTGTATCTTGGTGTCCATTGCCTAAGAACAGAACACTCGGGTCTGCTTAATTCTTTTGAACAACTCGACACTATACCTCTGAAAGGACTTACTATTCAGGGTATCCCCTTCAATGGGTCGACCTCCCCCTCGGTTCTGGTTGGCTAACTCCTGCTTGCCCTTCTAACTCTGCTCATGTGTGTCCACCTCCTGACCCTCTCCGCTGGGCCAGACATGATGCCTCTTCCCTGTGCTCCCTCAGCCCCCCATGCTCCCCTTTCTCCTGGCCTGTGTCCTGTGTTGTCTCCAGGGCCCACACTGCTCCCCTCTGGTCCCCGCTGCAGTCCGGCACTTGCTGAGCACTCAGGAGCCTGGCAGAAAGGTGGCACTTTCTGCTAACATGGAGGACCACAGGCTGAGCTGAGCTTGGTTTAAGAGGGACTGAGCTGGCAGGATAGGTTGGATGTGCTGGCGAGGCTGGAATTAGGGTCCTGGAGCACAGGCAAGGGTCCTTCCCAGTAGTAGCAGCATGAAGGCTGATCAGGGCGAAGACATGCAGGGGATTGGAGGCACCGAAAGCCCAGTGCTCCCTCATGGCCCTGCCTGGAGGAGCAGGTTCTCATCTTGACTCTCTGTTGCAGGGAAACATCGTGACCCTGGTACACGACAGTGGAGACGGCGAGGACGAGGAGAATGACATCCTCTTGAATGGCCTTAGTCACCAGAGCCACCTGATCCTGCGGGCCGAGGGCCTGGCTACGGGCTTCTGCAGGGACGTGCATGGACAGGTGCGCAGGGGCTCATGGGGCACCAGCTGCTGCCTCTGCACCTGAGCCAAGACCATACGTGGGATAGTGTCAGGTCCTAGGGGCTGTCTGGTTGGGGCGTTCCTTCGGGTGCAAGGGAAACCTCAGGAGTTGTGTGAATGCAAGACAGTCTGTTCCAGATGGGGCTAGCCTCACACACCAGTGCACGTTTTCCATGGTGGTTCCATTTGTGATCGAAGCAGAACTTCCTAAAAAGGAGACCGCCGTCTGGAGCAGAATGCAGGGCCCCTGCTGTCCGACAGCAGAATGCCTCTGCAGGACCACAGAAGGCTTTGTTTACTCAGGTCAATGCTGCTCCTTTTAAAATAAAAACCTGGGGGGACCATACCCGTGGCTGGGGTTGCTGCCGCCCCCGCTGCTGCCTCTGACCAGAATGTTGGAGAACTCAGGCAGAAGCCGAGAGTCCTGCCTTGTGAGGGAGGTCAGGTTCTACCTCCTCCCAAGGGGCTGCCATGGTTCTCTGCCTTCTGGAACTTTTCTTTCGGAATCTCCTCCCACACCCCCACCACGGCTTCCAGGTTAACTTGACATTGACCACTCTTGGCCCATTAGGCATGGGTGGGAGTTTTGGCCCAGAGTCAGAAAAGAAAACAAATGGGTGAGCCCCGAGATGCCGTGTGGTAGTGCCTGTGTGCACAGCGGGAGGAGAGGGTTCGGAGAGGGTTCTCTGCGGCCAGTCCCGTGGAGCATCCTAGCCTGCCTAGCATTGAGACATCATCAGAATAAACCTCTAGCCTTCCCGAGCCTGTACTGGTTGGAAGGTACTGAGTCGATTCTCAAAATCAGTGCAGCCCACAAAAGCATGCATAGAAAAAGACCAAATTACTTCAGTGGTTTTTCCCTGGATGGCTGTTTTTCTTTTTCTTCCTCTTACAGATTTTCTGTAACGGGCAGGTATCACTCCTGTATCGGAGAGGGGGAATCTTTAGTTTTAGTTAGCTGGTAATAAGCTTTGTTTTCGAAGTGGGTCACATGCTGCATGGCACATGACCGGGACCTCCTCGAGGCCTCGGTAGCAGGTGGTGGAGCAGGCGGGTACTTGGGGGCTGCTTCTCTTTCATTCTCCTTTTCCCTGTAGCTGAGGATCCTCTGGCGGACACCATCACAGCCCACAGCCCAGCGGGACGGGAGCCTCACTTACCAGTACAAGATACAGGACAAAAGTGTGTCCTTTTTTGCCAAAGGGATGTCTCCTGCTGTTCTGTGACCTGATTGAGGAGCACACAGAGCGACCTTGGACCGTTTTCAGATGTGAAAGATAAAGCGACGAGTCGGAATGGATCTGTACACCTTTGAAGTGGCATTTCAGCCTGGACCAACAGCCTCACTGCGGGGCGGGGCCGTGGAAAGGGGCTGTGACGGCACGTCCTAGTTCCCTGGGCTGTTTGGATAACAGAGGAAATAGCAACCCGGCCTCTGAGGAGAGAGACGCCACATGTTGAAACCGGGTGAAAGTGGTGCCGGGAGCCTTTCATTAAATACGCTTTAGCCTCAACTGCCCATTTGGCTGTTCCTTTCAGAGCCAGAGTGGGTATGAATGTGCCAGCTAGGAGACAGCCCCGGGTGGCAAGCCCCGGAGGGACACCGTGGGTAATCATGGCTGGCATGAGGAGAGTCCCTGTATTGTGGCTTCCTAGTGATGGACTGTCTCATTTAATTTTCACCTGCGTCCTGCAGAGGCATTTGCCCTTCAGTCTGGTAAGAAAACCGGCTTAAAGAGGTTTGGCCAGCGCGCTCAAGGCTGGAGAGCCGGCCGTAGGTAGTGGAGCCCGACTCTGAAGTTCACACTTGCTGACCGAGCCTCCCAGAACCCAGGGGCAGGCTCCCCACTTGGTTCACAGCTTCACTTCCTCCTGGTTCTGGGGTCCCTGGCACATGAGGCTTCCTGGCTTGGTGAGAGGGGTCAGGAATGTTCTTGCTGCCAGATGGGATGGAGCCTTGGCAAGTTCCTCCCTCACCTGTGAAGACCGAAGAGGTGAGCTCTTGCCCCAGCATCCTGTGGATGCCACACTCAGCCCGTCAGTCAGGATCGCCTCAGAGTAGACACCAGGGGCATTCCCTTAAACTGGGTACATTTTTGCTATATGCAAATTATACTGCAATGAATTCGAAATGAAACAATTACACTGATCAGCAGGGACTAAGGAAATTTCATATCTATTGTTTAATTTTAACTTTTCACGTTTTTTAGTTTTCATAAAAGGGAACAATTCATCACTCCTCTTCTCAAGTCACACTATTATGTTGGTTATCCCACTGATAACCAGTAACAGTAGCTGCTTTTCTTCCCAAAAATATCGCAGACCTGATAGAATATTTGAAAATTATGTGTACAAGTAACTTGAGAAAGTGGTTATTGAAGAACTAATGATTCTTCTATGAATACTCTTCAGTATTTATACCAGCTTCATCTGAGCTACAATTCTGAATGGGCACGGCACCCCAGAACATTTTTTACATGATACGGATGTTGCTATTCTGTTTCTTCACTTAATTTATAAATGAATTTACTAAATCTTTTTAATAAGATTTTATTTATTTATTTGAGTGGGAGAGAGAGAGAGCACAAGGAGAGGGGAGGGGCAGAGGGAGAGAGAGAAGCAGACTCCCCTCTGAGCAGGGAGCCCGATGCAGGACTCGATCCCAGGACCCTGGGATCATGACCTGAATTGAGGGCAGACGCTTAACCAACTGAGCCACCCAGGCATCCCTGAGTTCACTAAATTTTTTTTTTTTTAATTTTTTTTTTAAGATTTTATTTATTTGCGAGAGAGAGAATGAGAGACAGAGAGCATGAGAGGGAGGAGGGTCAGAGGGAGAAGCAGACTCCCTGCTGAGCAGGGAGCCTGACGTGGGACTCGATCCTGGGACTCCGGGATCATGACCTGAGCCGAAGGCAGTCGCTTAACCAACTGAGCCACCCAGGCGCCCCGAGTTCACTAAATTTTAATGTTTAATGGTTACTGAGCATTTTATGGTGTCATTATTCTAATTTGCTCAGCTATTCTCTGAGCGTGTAGGTTCTGGGGTTTGTAATTATAAATTATGTTACGAATATTATTTTATTATTTTTAATCTCATTAAATTTTATTTGGGGGGCATCTGGGTGCACAGTCGGGTGCTTTATCTCTCTCTCAAATAAATGCAATCTTAAAAAATATTATGAAGATTTTATTTTTAAGCAATCTCTATGCCCAACATGGGGCTCAAACTCAAAACCCTGAGATCAAGAGCCGCATGCTCCACTGACTGAGCCAGCCAGGTGCCTTATGAATTTTATATACCATACTTATTTGGAGGTGGGGGCAAATACTTGTTTCCTTAGAACTTTCATTCAGTCACTCAGCAAATATTGAATACCTTCTATATGGCAGGCTGCTGTTAGGCAGTGAGGGTATGACCATGACAAAGCAGGTCCCTGCCTGCAACAAATTGAGAAGTAATCTTTGTAGAGTTAGACTGTGTTAAGTGCTATAAGTAAAACAGGGAAGGGGCACCTGGCTGGCTCAGTCTGTAGAGCATGTGACTCGATCTGAGGGTTGTGATTTCGAGCCCCACGTTGGGTGTAGAGATTACTAAAAAAAAATAAACTTTAAAAAGTAAAAATAAGAGGCGCCTGGGTGGCTCAGTCATTACGTGTCTGCCTTCGGCTCAGGTCATGATCCCAAGGTCCTGGGATCGAGCCCCGCATCGGGCTCCCTGCTCTGCAGGAGGCCTGCTTCTCCCTCTCCCCCTTCCCCTGCTTGTGTTCCCTTTCTCGCTGTGTCTCTGTCTGTCAAATGAATAAAAAAAAAAAATCTTAAAAAAAAAAAAAATAAAGCAGGGGAAGGGGCCTGTGAAAGTGAGGGATGATGAAATTTTAGTCTTCTCCCTGAAGTGGAATTTCTGAATTAAAGCATGGATTGGGGCACCTGGCTGGCTCAGTTGGTAGAACATGTGACTCTTGGCTTCGGGTCCTGAGTTCAAGCCTCATGGTGGGTGTGGATCCAACTTAATTAAAAAAACAAAACAAAACATGGACTGGCCCTCACATGGTATCAGATTGTTCTTCAGAATGATGGAGCCAGTTAACAGTGATCTATAAGTTTTCCTCCACCAACGTTGGATTTAACTTATCTTTTACTAATTTAATAGTTGTGCAGAGTTGTGGGAAAACGGACATTAATGACTAAGATATGATTTTCTCTCTATTTTCCCATGTGTGGAGAATGTATTCCTCACCCTTAATCACTTATCAATTAGAACCTGGGGTCAACCTTGTTTTATCCATTCTTTGTAATATTTTGGAAAGGATTTTATCATTTGTTCATGTATATGTTTTTCTACTTGAAAAACATTTTATCTTCAGGAAGATTTGTTTTCTATTCTGATATGCATTTGTTCAAGAAATATTTGTGGACCACCTGTTTTATATAAGGGGCCATTAAGAGAGACAGTCTTTCTTTTTTTTTTTTTTAAATATTTTATTTATTTGAGAGAGAGAGAGAGCATGAGGGGAGGAGGGTCAGAGGGAGAAGCAGACTCCCTGCCGAGCAGGGAGCCCGATGCGGAACTCGATCTTGGGACTCCAGGATCATGACCTGAGCCGAAGGCAGTTGCTTAACCAACTGAGCCACCCAGGCGCCCAAGATAGAGACAGTCTTAAAGGCACCTGCTGTGCTCTGATGGGGGCTAAGCAACAGGCACTTAAGTAATGTGACACAGTGGAGAAGATGATGAGGGCCATAAAACAACACAAGTAATGGACGGTGACAGGCTGATGGTCACAGGAAAGAGTGATTATTTCCTCATCACTTTTTTGCTTTTGTCTTGTTGAGGGAGCAGAGAATTGGGGAAGAAATTATGGAGGCAATACTGTTTGTTTTTTTTTAAAGATTTTATTTATTTAACAGAGAGAGACACAGTGAGAGAGGAAACACAAGCAGGGGGAGTGGGAGAAGGAGAAGCCGGCTACCCGCTGAGCAAGGAGCCCAATGTGGGGCTCGATCCCAGGACCCTGGGATCATGACCTGAGCCGAAGGCAGATGCTCAACCGACTGAGCCACCCAGGTGCCCCTCAAATTAACTTATTTAGAATTTGCTACAGTATTGTAATTTGTCTTCGTGCTAGTAACTAAATAGCCCAACAGTATTTACTGAAAAGTAGTGATCCTTTCTTGTTATGTAGTTTGGGTTTATTTATATGTAAAGTTCTTAAAATTGAGCTTTTCTGAAATTTGTTCTTAGTAGGTATTGAAAGGTTAGTATATGTCTGCTCTCAAGAGCGCTTATTAAAAGGATATCTGCCTGCTTATTTATCCAGATGAATTTCACCAGCACATTATCAAGCTCTGTAAAGTATCCTTCAAGGATTTTTTGCTCTCGTTTTTAAAATTGTAGTTGTGTAATTTTATTTAAAAAACAGGTGAAGAAATTAATACCCTGTTATTAAATGTTTTTTTATTTTATTGGAAAAGAAATCTGGTTTTGTGGAATTTTTTTTTTTTTTTTTAAGTAGGTTCCACACCCAGTCTGGAGCCCAACACAGGGCTTGAACCCATGACCCTGAGATCATGACCTGAGCTGAGATTAAGAGCTGGATGCCTACCAACTGAGCCACCCAAGCGCCCCCGATTTTGTGGATTTTTCTATGGTGTCTTTGACATAGGGATGTAGTTGACTTTTTGAAATATATAACTTATTCTACAGTTTTTCTAAACTATTCTAATAATTTTCTAATTGAGATTCCTGAATTTTTAGATATTTTTTCTTGTTTTCCTTTTTCAGATATTAACATCTACAAATAATGCCAACCTTGCTTATTTTCCTTTAAATAGGGAAAATTTTTTTATAGAAGTATAGTTAACTTACATTATTAGTTTCAGGTGTAAAACATAGTGATTCGATAGTTACATACATTATGAAATACCACCATACAAGTAATGGTAATTCTCATCTGTCACCATACTAAGTTATTACACTATTATTGACTAAATTTCTCATGCTGTATTTTGCACCCTGTGACTTGCTTATTTTATAACTGGAAGTTGTACTTCCTGATCCCCTTCACCTATTTTGCCCATCCCCCTCCCCCTTCCCCTCTGGCAACCACCAGTTCTCTGGATTTATGAATCTGTTTCTGTTTTTTGTTTATTTTTAGTTTCCACATGTAAGTGAAATCATACGGTATTTGTCTTTCTCTGACGTATTTCACTTAGCATAGTACCCTCTAGGTCCATCCGTATTGTCACCAATGGCAGTAGTTCTTTTTTTTTTTAAGATTTTATTTATTTATTCGACAGAGAGTGAGAGAGCACAAGCAGGGGGAGCAGGAGAAGGAGAGGGAGAAGCAGGCTTCCCACTGAGCAGGGAGCCTAACGTGGGGCTCAGTCCCAGGATCCTGAGATCATGACCTGAGCCTAAGGCAGATGCTTAACCATCTGAGCCACCCAGGCGCCCCAGTTCATTCTTTTTTATAGCTGAGTAATATTCCTGTGTGTGTGTGTGTGTGTGTGT